TCCAGTTACTTAAGATGAAGGCTTCTTTTCCTGTAACGTTATGTCACAAGGAAGGAGATATGGACTCGATGATCTTGAGGTCTCTTCCAACCTAGAGATTCTGTGATATTTCCTTATGGTTGGCTTGTGCTTCTGTGGGTGCCTTCCTAATATTTAGGAATTGACTTTGGGTATGTACACACCACCAAAAATAAACAAATAAATAAAAATTAAATATGGTGAGGGCAGACCTTGGCCTTTTGCAGCCCTATCTGCTTTTCAGTGAGGCTTTCCTGTGATGGACAGTCTGATAGCCCGGGCTGTTCACAGCCCCTCTGGGATTGCCCAATTCTTGCTGTGTGCCAGCACACAAGAAGTCTCTGGGGTCCATGGCACTGCCTCTCACAGCATCACTGCTCTCTCCACTCAATGCTCCTGAGTTTGGTGCTTCCTCTCAGTTCTTTCTGCTCTTAGCAGGTCCTTATGGTAAATTAAGAGAAATTTTCCTTCTTTCCCTGGAATCACCAGGGCAAGGAGGAGAGGGTGGGCAGCCCACGACAGCAGGGATCTCCCTGTGCTGAACTGAGCACGCCACACTTTCTGCTGGTGGGGTGATGCCAGCTCATTTGTAACATCTGCTGACTGGGGGATTCTGCATGTATATATATACACATATATGCATATATATATATAGATACAGATATAGCTTTTGGCTTCTGGGGTGTTTTTCCCAAATAGCTGAACAGACAGAAAAACTCTAACTACAAAAGGGTATTTACACATTCAGATGGGTCCAGCGATGCTTTCCTAATCATTAGCCCAGCACTCTGCACATTCGTGTGATATTTCTGGATGGGAATCTGCTACACTGTGGGAAAAGGGAGTACCAGAGCAGGAAAAAGAATGAGAGGGGGGAACATGACAGAGGGGAAAAAATAGATGGAAATGCAAACTGCATTTCCACAGTAACTGACAGCTTTATCACACTTGCTGCTAAATGTTTAGAAAGGAGAAGAGCCCAGATGCCAGGGAGACCCAATCCCCCAGTTTGTCTTGGATGGGCTGGGATAAGGAACTGGAAATAGCAATAGGTTTTGTCCCAGACATCTGTCTTGTCCTCACGGCCTGTGTCGGGCCATGCCACGTCACCCAGCACAGCAGCATGTCCCTGCCACATCCTTCCTCCCTGGCCACCCATCCTAGCCTGCCATCTGCACTACCTTCTGCAACAGGCAGGTGATACTTGGGCTCCTCAGCCCACAGGAATTCCTTTCATCCCAGCTTAGGAAAAGCAGCATGCATGGCAAAGTGAAGAGATATTGTACTTAAATGACACTGGTGCGTTTGAAAAGAAAATTCAGAATTCCAGTCTCATTCCTCCTGTCCACGTGTTATCTACATCCTGCATGATTCATAAACAGCACAAAAGGGCCCCTGTCTCTTTTTTCCTTGGCTCTGTCATAATAGAAGGTTAATGAAAACCTTCGTGAAAACCAGTGAAAGCTAAAAATCCTGCTAGCTAATGTCATCTAAGCATTTAGCACAGAAAAAACAGCAATGCAACTTCCCAGGCAAATGCAAAAAAGCTTGATTAAAACCTCCTGCAGAAGGCTGGCATATTTGTCCAGGCCCATGATATTCAAAATATCGCCATAATACCTGCCTTATAAAAATGCATGTATTTCTTCAGCTGTGTGTATTTAGACCTTTTAGCAGTTCTAATGAGCTTTCAGAATGAAGCTACTACAGCAATCAGCTTCTGTGTAACAAGCAACATTTAAATATTAAAAACGTAAATTAGCTAAGCTGGTTAATTACAATTTTCCAAATATTGCAAAAGTGCGAGTAAGGCTATTAACTGCTTTGAAATTCAGATATCAGTTCCTCCCACTCAGGGAACATCCAGTTCAGTAGAGAAGATGAAGTTACAGAACAGTCTCCTGAGCTAGCCAAAACAATATCTGCTTACCAGAGCTAAAAGCCCTACATTTCAGCTGCCATTCAGAGATGTTAAAACGACACAGAAGCCTGAAATCGGAATTTACCAGTTTGTGGAAGTACAAATGTCTTCCAGAAAAAAGTTTGCTGCTGGCTCTCTGAGCCTTTTCCTAAGGATGCTGTGACTTCAGGTGCTGGGCAGACTGCATCGCATATCTGCAGCCCCCTGTGCTCATGAGGACTTTTCTCTCCCTGAGGAACATTTATGTTGGTTTGATGTGCTAGAAATGTGCAGCAGGCAGCATTTGAACTGCTCTTGCTTCTGCCCCAGATTCTTGGTAGAAATGACCCTGGCAACAAACATAACATCAGGAAAATATCTGCAAAAGTCAACTGAAGAGGACAATCTCTTCATTTTCTCTTAGTGTGGATGATCCTAGGTACACAAGCCCGTGGTGTGACCCTAGTTCTTTGAGCAGCATAAAATCCTCTTAAAGTCACCCACTGGGAATGCCCCAAGGTTTCAGCCTGGCTGCCAGACCCCTCTGCTTTTCCTACACAGAGAGCTACTGCACACACCTCTGCTGAAACAGGTGCAGGCACGGAGTAAATGGCCTATCAGGAAGATGATGAATAGATCCAAAATTATTAATGTGATCCTCTTTGGGTATGTCATCTGCCTGTACTGCTTTGTGCTGCAGAACAAAGAAGGAGCAGAGAAAATTCTTCCCTTGGATCTTTACTGGAGGTGTTCAAAACCGTACAGGATCTGTCTCTGCTAAAAGAGCTCTGAATGGCTTTTAGTTCCAATATTGCTAAAAATTGCATATTATTTCCTTTTTGTTGTTGTTGTGGTGGTGGTGATTTTTTTTTTGTTGTTGTTGTTTTTTTTTTTGCATTCTACATGGCTGTAATTCAAAAGCTTATAAGAGAGAATGTCTTACAAAAGAAAAGTGAGGAAAATATCTGTTTGATTACACTTCTTCACAAGCATAAAAGCTTTCTTTGTTGTAGCTCAAGGAAACAGCTTTTCAGAGCCAGTTCTGCAGCAGCTACATAAGCATTTGTATTTCTAAGGCATCTCAAGATTTTGCATGTTGCCTTTGTTTACTTTTAAGTAATCTCCAATTTTCCATCTGTCTGTTTGACCTACCCTGGTTAAAATCCCCACTAGCCCCTTCAACTCTACCTTAGGTGGAAATGAAGCTGAAAGCTCTTTCTAGAAGACATTCTCTGTTAGAAGCTATCAACACTTGGTGGTATCTTTTCTCTTGGAAATCCCTTGTGGGCCTAATTTAGAGTTCACTCCAGGCAAACTTCTTTCAAAAGTAAGTGAGAGAATGAAAAGGTTTGCTCAGTTGACTTTGGTTGACTGGTAAGAATTGAAGTAAATAATGCTTGTTGCAATCAAACCCACTGCAGACCACAACAATTTTTATTGATAACATCAAAAAAAAAAAAAAAAAAAAGCACGGAACAGCTAACAGAATAGCCGCCTTTAGTAGCCCGAGTAATCTTTCAAATGAATTAATAGAAAGTTAGTCATTGTGATGATAAACTCTTATTTATAGTAGCCCAGTGTCTGTGGGTTCCCAGTCTTGGAAGACCCCTGGTCCTTGGCATTGCACATAGTGTCAGGGACTGTCCTCCCAGTACAGGTTATAAACTGGGACTGGGATGAGTCAAGGAGATAGTATTGTCTCCTTTTCACAGTTGAGAAAATGAATCATTTTAAACAGAAAGCCCGGGCCTGACCTGGAGCCCAAGCAGTCCTCCCGAATCTTGCTGTCCATCCATCATTTCTACGGGCCTGCTAGACATTATGTTGGGAATACGTGGAAATGAACAGGTAACTCTATAAAATTTTGCTTTGCCTTAACAGTGATTTGCCCTGATAGATTTGTAGCTATTGTTGTTTTTGGGTGCCTGAGAAGGGAATATGTGGGTTGTAAAATACCTCTGTTGAGGCAGTGGAGCAGCTTTAATTTCCCATCACGTAGGGTGAGGCTGTTGTGGCCAGGAGCAGGGGATGCAGTGTCTCCCAGCTGCAGAGGAGTGATTTTGAAGATTATCTTTGTGGTCACTTGAAAGTGTGAGGCAAGAAGGGCTGTAACTGAAGTGAATTTAGTTCAGATGGACTAGGGTCTAAAGGGAAATAATTGGGCTGTATGAAAGCAAGAGCTGCAGCAATGTTGTTGATTTATCTGCAGAACAGATTTTATCAAGTCTTTGCAGTCAGTTCTCTTTAAAAGGATAACTTTGAAAATGCTCTTGATGGTGGCAGTGTTTCTGTGCCAAGCTGCAGCAGCAAGGAGATATCAGCATGATCTCCTGTCTGTGCAGGAGTGGTATTTGTACGAAGCATCCCCGCTTCATCTCTAATTGAAGTCCTTAATAACAAAAATACCTTATTTGATCATGCTGCTCAAATGTTAGCATCCCAGTGACGTTCTGTGTGCCTTACATCCTGGTAACAGGCATGAAAGTTACAAACCTTAAATAAGCCCATCAGTAGGAGGGAGAAATGCAGTGACAGACCCTTGGTGTCTCTTTGAAGCCATCCACAAGGAAACTAACCTGCCAACCTGAGCAAATTAGATTTTTTGATGTTCTCCTTCCTTTCTCTCCCCCAGTTCCTTTTACTGACTTGACTTTTATCTGTTCTTAAATGTTGTTAAATTTATTTTTCCAGGACAAACAACTGAGTGGATCCACAGCTACTTGCAATAAAATTCATCTTTGTCTTTCCTGGCCATGACCAAAATTGTGGATTCATCCAAAATACCCCTGCCTTTCTTTACAGCCTTATTAGGTCAGATCCTTACTGGATTATCTTCTACTTTCTTTTGCTGTCTGAAAATTATAAATCAATACAAAGTTCTTTGGGACAATTCCTGCATGGTTTTGAGCAGTAAGCAATTTAAGTTCTTTTCTTTGGAGAGGTTGGAGGCAGAGAAGGTGGAGAGGATTACTGCTGGTCCAAAGGCAAGACACTTGCTGTAGTTGCACGTCTGCAGCAAAAGTGCATGTCCTCTGCCCAGCGCACATATCTGCCTTGGGAAGCTCCCTTCCAAGCACATCCTCATGGTATTTTACTGCTTCAGCAGAGCAGCCACTTTTGAAGGATTTTATCCTTTTGGAGGGATGACAGTGTGTAGTCAGATTTGTTACCAGTTTTGCTTCCAGTAGCAGTTCCAAGTCTGTAACCTGCAAGGAGAGCCCTTTATTCTCCTGAGCCTGGTCCATCTTCCTGCTCCTCCCTGACTTTGGTGATCACAGATGTCCAGGTGCTGCTCAGAGGCTGGATTTTGGGATGGAAAAGAGAGGAGAGGGAAGAAATAATGCTACTATTTTTTTGTTGTTGCTGCTGTTTCTTTAGGACCCAACAGAACAGTGGAGATTTGCAGTAGCAAATGGATCACCGAGGAAATAAATAAGATGCTGTGGAAATATATGGTGAGTATAGAGAAAAAGGGAATTGGTCTTGCACATTGTAGATAAACTTGAATAATGGGGTCACATACTGCAAGCTTTGTAGTCCAATTTCATTTCCTTCACACATCATTCAGTTGTATAAAAGCAATTCATCCAGTTATCACCTCCTAAATCTCCTTCTACATTGTTGTAGGCATTGATGGCTCTTATCTCATTACCATATGCTGCTGCTGGTCAGGAGCTATTCTTTGTGAGCAGTATTACCCTGGTAACAAAATAAAAACAAATGAAAAAGGAAAAAGATGCATAATTTAATATGGCTGTTTCAAAGATAATTCTTGATTATTATTTTTTTTAGATCAATTTTCATACTGCAGTAAAGAATGAGAAGGTACCTTGCAGTGAGACTTGTTATGTCATGTGATTTCCAAACAAATGTTCACAGAAAATGGTATTTTTTAAAGTAAGCACTGGAAACAAAAGCTTGACATTCCTGTTGATTTTTCCTTTCTCCCCATGCATCTTCATATCAAAGGAATAAAAAGAAATGAGATTCCAACACCAATTCCTGTCACTACATAAAATAGCAATTTAATGCCACAGTCTTTTTTTTTTTCTTTCCACTGCAGAAGACCTGGCTTTATTATGTCATAGTGTGAGGAATATTTTTATTAGTAGTAAGTGAAATTGGAATCTGGCCTATGCTTGGCTAAAAATCAAGTATCTTCCAATATAAAATAAAATATCTTCCATTTTTAAGGTAGCGAGCTTTTAAAATACAAATTAAGGTGGTGTCCTGGTGATGTCCTTTTAAACAACCTTCAGAATGGAGAGTGCAGATTCTGAAAGTCCATTTAAATTCCTGGGAGCATCTCAGCAGCTGGGGGAGAGCAGGCAGAGGGACAGATAACAGCAATCAATACCGGCTTTAATAAAGGACAGTGGCAAAGGAGAAGAAATGAAAAAGAAAAAAAAGGAAAAACAAACAAACAAACAAACAAAAAGTGAATTGCTGTAGGTCTAGAGGATTTCAGGTCACTTCTTTTGGCTTGACCTGCTGCTTTCTCCCATAATTGAGCCAGGGAGTTAAACCTCTCTCCAGGCAAGGAGAGGAACTGGACATAGGGGGAGTGAGAGGACGGCAGAAAGCAGCCTGCTTTCTTGTGGGAAGGGTTGGATTTTTTTGTTTTGTTTATTTGCTTTAAGATGAGAATAAATACATTAAAACACTCCATACCATTTTCAAGCCTTGAATGGAGGTTTATCAGGGGTATCTATGGCTCTCTAGCATGTGCAGGGCAGCAGTTAAAACAGTATCACAGAGAATCACGACAATATCACAATAATAAGAATAAATCTGCATTACATTCACTGCTACTTAAGAGTAGGGGTCACTTTTAAATATTGGAACTGGAACTACATGTGCATTAAGCAGGGTTGGCAAAAAGAAGGGGAAAGCACATATATTATTAGCCCAACCCTGCAGGGAACATGAGGTGTAAGAGGTTAGAGATGGGCTCAGCGTGTGCACTCGTCTCCTCCACCCTCAGCTAGGGCTGCTTCCTACAGCACGTTCTCCAGCATTTTGCTCAGCCCAGTTTTATGTCAGGGACTTCAGGCCTGCTGCACCCTGCTGAGTTCATCCTTTCCTTTCCTTTCCTTTCCTTTCCTTTCCTTTCCTTTCCTTTCCTTTCCTTTCCTTTCCTTTCCTTTCCTTTCCTTTCCTTTCCTTCCTTTCCTTTCCTTCCTTTCCTTCCTTTCCTTTCCTTTCCTTTCCTTTCCTTTCCTTTCCTTTCCTTTCCTTTCCTTTCCTTTCCTTTCCTTTCCTTTCCTTTCCTTTCCTTTCCTTTCCTTTCCTTTTTTTTTTTATTTATTTTTTTTTATTTTTATTTTCTTGTGTGATCTGAGATGCACAGCTGTGAATCCTGGTTGAAATGCTGCTGTTGTGGTGTGTCGCTGCAGGTTGGACTGGAGCAGGCAAGCCCAGAAACATGAGAAATGTGCAGAAGTCCTGTCCTCTGGAGCTGAGCCCTGGTGCTCTTGGGTGCTGTGGCTTCAGACATCCACAGAGAAGGCCATACATTGCATTTATGCCACTCCAGCCTCCTCCTCAACTTGGGATCTGCTAGAGATGGCCTTTATCTGGGTGCTCCAGTAAAACAGACCTTTGGCCACAGTGTGCCATGCAGAGCAGACAGTGCTGGCAGTGCACCTCGTCCCTCTGCACTAGGGTGGGACGAGACCAAGCTTTCCACTAAAGCTTGAGACCAGATGTGTTTTTTCCCTAAGACTGATAGTTTAAAATACAGAGCAAAATGATGGGGAGGTGGGGCAGGAAGGGTGGTCTGCAGGGACGTGGATGTTGTCCGCCTGCGCGAAGAAGAAAAGCCTTTTACTCCATTAGTCATCCCCTCATGAAACGCCTGGCCTCCAGAGGCCTCTGGGATGTTGTGATCTCATCCAGGCTGCAAGGTAGGTTTCTGAAAAGACAGCTAATGGGATCGGCTAAAGCTTTTACAGCAGCACCAGCTGGAGAAACCTCGCCCTGGAGCAGCCTGCCCAGCAATGCGGGGTGCTGAGCACATTGCAGCCCTTGGCAGGGAGGGGAGGGCCGAGGCACGGCGGTGGCTCACCAGGGTGTGGTGCAGCACTGCTGCCTAAATATGTGAAGGCACTGCCCCAACACCAAGCAGCCCTTCTGTTCGCTGTCAGTAAGCTAAATGAGAAAGCAACACGGGAATGTCAGCACAGTTGCTTGGTGCTGCCCTTCGCCCTGCTTGTGGCATGGCCACATAGAGTCAGCCTCCCTGTGACCCAGTTTGCATCCCAGTTGTGCATCCCAGTTTGGGGGAACCCAGTATGAGGCTCTGGGGACTGCTGGCATGCAGTGGTATGGCACAGGGTGACATCAGGCTGACTGTGGCATCTCTTGGGGGATTCAGCAGGTTCCTGCAGCTTGGTGTCAGCACGGAGATGCTGTGCAGGTCTGCAGTGAACTGGATGCACTCAGGCATGGACAGGCACAATTACAGCATCCAGAAGCAAATTACAAGTTTAAAACTGCTCTTTGCAGTTTGGAAAGCCCAAATTATAGGGCCCACAGAAGAGTGCCAGAAGGATAAGAAGTAACTAGAAGAAAGTAATTATTAATGAGCTTAAACATTCTCATTTGCTGCATTCACATTGTAACAGTGCTTTCCTGTGAAATACAAATGAGTGGTCAACATCCCTTGGGGGAAAAACAATGCAGTGGTTTTATGCCTTAACCTCCCGGCCAGTAATTGCTAGACACTTCTTGGTGATTAAGCATTAAGTAACTGGAATCAATCCTTTGCAGAACTAAATCTAGTTTGGACATAGCCCAGTGTGATTGCTTGATAGGATATAGCTTAATGGCAATGTGCTTGCAGTTAAGCAGAAGAGAAAGTGAGAGGTAAAAGATCCTTGAACAAAGAGTCTGTGCTTGTGCCTGTGACAGAAAGATGATCCTTTGCTTCAGCACAAGAGGTCTTAAAGCTTTGTCATCCTCCTGAAGGTTGACAGTGATGTACAGAAAGGAGAAAGCAGTGCAGTGGCATGCAGCAGCCTGCATCACTGCTGCTCTGGTTGCTGTTGAACAAGGACTTGCTGCAGCCAAGCTCAAACCCAGACGTCTGAGGAGATGGGGCTCAGAGCATCCTTCTGGGGGAAGGGCAGCCCTTCCTCCCAGGAAGCTGCAGCAGACTGGAAAAGAGGTGGAGGCCACGCTGAATATGAGCTGCTAGCCCAGCCCTTCTTCTGAGTGATTAAAGACAGGGGAATATTGAGTGGGAGTGAGCAGGATACATTACCTCCACCTCTGGCAGCAGCACGCTGGCCAAGTGAGTCCTCTTCTGGTGCCAGTGATTTAAAAAGGTCATTGAGGAGCTGGAAGGTGCTCAAGGAAGAACGATCAGGATGAGAAAAAATGGAAAACATGAGGAAGACCAAAGAGAGGAATCTGTTTATCTTATTGAAAACAGGACAATGCAGCCTGCGGCTTCCTACAGAGGAAGCATAAGTTTATTAGCAGGTAATTCTTCAGCTAACAGATAAATACATAGCATCATCCATCAGGAAGAGCAGAAGACAATAGCACCTTAGAATAAAAATAAGGTGCAACTGTCTAACAGTAACATTGATTGACGATTAACCTCATTAGTGGCTATGGGAGATTACATTTTTTTTTTCCTGATGAAAGAGGTGCTCTGGCTCTGTCAGGGGTTAACATGGAAGTCTGAGCTCTGTGCTCTGCAAAATGTCAAATCGAATGATCTCAGTGATCTCTTCTAGCTCTGTTTTTGAATCTTGTAACATATTTCATTCCTAATTCAATATGGGAAAGAGGTTTCATTTCAGTATCTTTAATTTCTACCAAATGCATTTTGCATTCATCTTGCAGTGGTTTTGATTTCCTGTAATGAAATTCTGGCTGGTCTCTAGCTCCGTGTGCATAAACATTGCTAGCACAGCAGATAATATATAAGATGTCTCACAACCAGCCTGCAATATGCAAAGCTTCATAGGAGCACTCCATAACATTGCAGGCAATTATGGCAATAAATGATTAGATTATGAACCTGATTCTGCATGCAGGGGGAATTTCAGGTGAAATCCCACCCTCTTCTAAAAAGAATGGCCAGGCCTTATACGAAGGGCTTGCAAAGTGCACCCATAACCATGTTTAATTGTAGTTGTACATTGCAGATGTGCATGCAGGTGTACCTAATAAAAAAAAAAAAAATAAAACAAACAAACAAACAAACAAACAAACAAAAATTAAAAAACCTTTAATTGATAGTTTGTGTGAGATTTTAATTTTTCAAAGCTTTCAACTCCTTTTCTTCCAGTAGCTACTTTGTTACAATGCTGGAAGTTCAAGGCAGCTTTCAGAAGCTGCAGGATCCAAACCTGTGGAGGGATTTCGGGGTTAGACCATTCACTGCTTCTAGTATATCATTGCCGCTGTTTCATTACAATGACATTTTAATAAATATTATTGT